GCAAAATGGGAGCATCATCCTAAGACACTGGGGGATTCAAACACAAAGAATGCATCTGAGGATCACCCTCTAGAGGCATGAGAGCTGGGTCGCAGCAAATCGAGTGTAGAGCCGCGAAACAGGTTCCCAGTTCAGCCAGTTCAGCCAACCGATCGGCCACACCTATCGAGGTCATAAATCCTTGTGCTCCCGAAAGCATGCTGACACAACCGATAGCGTCCCCGGACAGCAGTTTCTATTCAATCACCAACGGCCCCTCGTCCGCCAGGTGCAATGATGCTCAGGAGGAGGCAAGTCTCACGTGGAAGCAGCGCCAAAAGTACACAGAACCATCAGCGCTTATTTCCGTAACAGGCGACAAAAATGCAGCCATGAAACCCTCATCAAAGTCACAGATTCTGAACTGGAATGAGTCAGATGTGTGGGGACATGCAGCGAAGACCACCGACAAATCAAACCCATGCGTTGACCTTGACATTGGGGAATCCTGTGGCGACCGCACGACCATCCAAAATGTGAAACTGCTAATCTCCAGCTCCAGTCTGCCAAAAGCGTCCTCTGATTGTGGACCCAGTCGTCGCCGAGGTCCCCGAAAGCCGAAGCCACAAGCTTGACCACAGCGAAACGGACAATCATTCGTACATCCAGTTGGCCACGCCAATCGCGGGCGGATCGGGTGTCTACGCAAACACGAAAGAAAAGCGACTGCAGCCAAAGAAGCCCTGTAAGATTCGCCGGCTTAAAAAATTGCCGGTTGTCTTCAAGATGCAGTCCTCCGCGAAAGCGAGCCTCATGGGAGCACCACCAAAATCAATACTTCTTAGTGCCGCCACCCAGATCCCAGGGCCTCACAGAGACACTTCTCCGGTCTTACTGCGCCAAAATACTCAATAAACCAGAAAGGCGGCTGTTTGCCGCAAATATTTTCTCAACAACAAATATTGTCTTCAAAAGGCGGTCGTGAAAGAGCTACAGGCAGCAGTGTTCGAAATTTTCGCCCAAGGGGAAAGAACTTCATCCCCCAAAGCTAAAAGTCCTGCAAGAGAAAAGCATCCCTAGAAACCAGAAAGACAGGAACCGGAAGATTATGCCCCAGAGGCCCCTTCGGTACCTTGGACTCCGGCCCGGCGCACGAATATTAAGTCTGCTAACCTCCCTGTTCGCCCAACTTCCTGCTCTTCACCCTCGGAAACAGCAGACAGTGTTGAAATGCTTGTGCACAAACTACTTCACCCTTTTTAACAAACTCTGCTATATTAAATAGCCAGTTTGCTTTGAACAACCGTCCATGATCACATTAACAGAGACCCGGTTCATCTGCCTTCAGCGAGGTGAGCGTGGACTCATCTTCCGAAATCCAGCAAGATTAACATTTGCGCCGATACCTCATTCTGTAATTCTATATTTCATGTTCAGCTTGAAGTTCGTCGTATTCGAGCGGAAGAACTGGTTAAGAAGCAACGTAATGTGATCGATGATCTTCATGCCCAGCTGGTCAGTGTGTAAGCCAAGTCGAACAAAAGCTTGTACGTTTCTACTAAGCTGACAGGGGGACTCCCTCGAGTGGATTCTTCTCACTCTCACACACTCTCCCTCTGTCTACCCAAGGTGAAAGTTACTGAAGCATAATACTATTAGCAACGCCTCCTGCACTGTTGAATTCTGAAGTTCTATTCCGAATGTGATGCGCGACCGTCGATACATTTAAGCGCCTTGGATGTAGTCACCCCCGCTTGAGACTTGGTGTACGCACTGATTGGTAATCTTCATGTGATAGACTAGACCTCGCCATAGCGCGGTGGTTAACTTGAACCGTTGGGATCCATTAAGGGAAGCATTCAAGTGCCACTCAGCTTTATTGATGTAAGGAGGTGTAACAAATAAATTCCGACGCGAAGATCTTGAGAGACGGTTACTCAGACTTTCGAGCTGCCTCAAGACGAGAGAGGGATGGTGTAATTGCTTCGTATTCACGTGAGGCCCTGCCTATTCCGATGGTCCTCTCTGATACCTTTCATGCACCTTTTTGGGATGCACTGTGGATCCACGGGTCCGATTCTTTCTCAGCGTGGTCTACCGTAGCCCACCTGAGTCCCTATGAAAATGATTAATTCCTCATATGAAGTTTTGAGCAACTCTCCTTCAGCTAACACCTCACTCATCTCCTGCTAGTAGGTGACTTCCACGCTCCAAAGGTCTTCTGGATGGAGTTCCAGCGCGTCGGATCTAGCGGATATTTTGAAGAGGCGCTTGGACTCAACAAGTCGTTGCACCCACAAAATACCGCGCAGGCCTACTACCATCACTCCTGGATTCAGTCATCACCAACGAAAAACACTTCGTTGATCAGGTGACAATTAACGCTCCAATGGGACATAGCGACCAGTTGTGCTGACCTTCGATTTCATCTGCTATTGAGCCAGAATTTCCGAATCTCAAACATGGTTTCGGGACTTCCGCCTTGCAGACTTCCCAGGAATGCGAATCGTTCTTAAACAAGTCAGACCAAGACCAGCTGCAGCGGAAGTATTATGTGACCAATATCCAGAAATTTCACGAGGCTGACGCGATATTCGTCGCAAAAAAACCAGCACGAACTCGGATTAGCCGCAGGCTGCCCAAAAGATTTCGGTGAATTCTGGAAAGCGGTCCCAATTTTTTTCAATAGGTTGACCACAGGAGATACAGAAGATGAAATGGCATTTCGTAAAATGTGGAACCGCTGTAAATCGCCATCCTGGACCTCACTCGGAAAGACATAAATGTACTGTTCAAATGCATGGGACATTGACGCAGAAACAAGCCACCCGCGTTCTTCTTGAGGGATAGAGACGGAGAACAGAAGAATGACAAAACAGTGGTATCTGAGATTTACAGAGAACACTACGCGTGTCTATACTCAGTCCCAGCGTCCTCGTCACATCCACTCTTGTCAAGGCGAAACTACGAACAGCCTCTAACCGACTTGGTCTTCACGGTGGAGAACATTCGTCAACTCTTGCAAAAGATCAACCCATTCTGCGCGTTGGGGCCCCACGAGGTCCATCCAAGGATCCTGAAAGAAACCTCCTCCACACCGGCAGATCATCCGCACCTGCTGTTTTGTCAGTCGCCTTCGCCTTGCTTGAGAGTAAGAGATTGTCACGCCGATCTACAAAACTGGTGACCGACTGTCGCCTGGCAGCTACAGGCCTATAAGCCTCACTAGCGTGCCGTGCAAGGTGATGGAACGCATTCTGAAGCGAGCTATCCTAGATCACCTTACTTCCAGCAACCTGATATCTTCAGCTCAACACGGATTTTCTCCCAAGCCCCTCTCGCGTGACAAACATGCTCGTGTTTATGGACAGCTTAACCCAAGCCAAGGGTGAAGGACTCATATAGGACGCCATATTTTCCGACTTCTCAGGAGCATTTAATACGGTCCAACACGCCGTGCTGCTCCACAAACTAGAGACTTACGCGATTCAAGGAAAACCCCTTCTCTGGTTCAAGGAGTGCCTATCAGACAGATCATCCCGAGTGAGAATAGGCTCGACCTACTCTTCTCCGGCGCCGTTCTCCATTGGAACTCCTCAGGACTCCGTCCTGGGACCAGTGCTGTTTCTGATATAAGTCAACCACATCCCAGATGTTCTTGCAAATCCACGTCTACTTTTTGCGAACGACTTCAAACGTTGGAGTTCCAATTCCAGTGCCCTCCAAATGGATGTAGACGCTGCCAAGCAGTGGTCGTTGTACTGACACCTTCCTCTCAATGACGAAAAGTGCGTCCATGTGTCGTTTGGAGGGGATTCAGCGAATACCTTTGTTATGCATGGTGAAAAGGGACCAGAAAACATCATGAGGATAGATGCCAAAAAAGATTTAGGCATCTGGGTCTCCTCAAACTTGTCCTTCGCACTACACCATGAGAAATCGGCCCAAAAGGCATTCGCCATTTTACGGGTGATCCGGCTCACCTTCTCCCGTATTACTCGCATGGACTTCCAAATACTCTATGGGGCCTACGTCAGACTGCTCCTGGAGTACGCCAACCAAGTTGTCTACTCAGGACGAATGAAGGACGTCACCCTCATTGAGCGTTTACAGCGGGCCACTACGAGAATTGTTACCGGCCGCAAATCCGTGGACTACGAAACGCCTCTCACGATGCTTGATCTCTTTC